GGCAAAAAATGTTGCATCTAATATCGAGGCATTGTTGCTGTCTAAACTAACGACTAAGGTACTGGAATGGGGAAACAAGGACCACATAGAAAGCCTAAAGGAAATTAGTGATAGAGGGTTTGATGTTATCATTGGTACAGATGTGACATACATTGCTGAAGCTATACTACCTTTGTTTGCAACTGCAAAAGAACTGATAGCTTCCGGTCGAAGCAGTAAAGACGATAATGTTCCTGCACTAATTCTTTGTCATATTTTTCGCCGCGTAGACGAACCAACCTTACTTTCGGCTGCAGCGCAATTTGGATTTAAATTAGTAGACAAGTGGCCGGCTGAAGTTTCAACTAATTTGTCTCAAAGCGTTATCAGCAATTGGTTTTTAGACAATGGTTTAAAGGATGATCTTCCTAGTACAGCATTGAACATCTTGCTTTTCGGCTTGGAGTGAAGTTATGTTTTATCTTCAATGCAAGTTATAATACAAAGTGAGAAGTAGAGTGCAATCTTGAACTTGATTCATTTAAGTACTTCAGAAATTTTGATAATGTTGTAAGTTATTCTTTTTAACATTTATTTGGAAATGCAATGCTTGTTTTTTTTGTTTAGTGATTTTGATTGTTGATTATTGTTTTGAGGAGATATATTTTAGATGAATCCTTAGCAAAATGTTGTGGCAGCAACCATCATACAATTAGAAAAGAATTCTCTAGAAGAGGCAAGTTATCAAGTTTGCATTTACATTCAAGGATAAAAATGTCATCAGAATACATTTAAAGGATAAAAATTTCACATCATATAATTTTTTCCTCTGTTTTTTTATGCATTTTCATCTCCAATAGCGGAGAGAATCCTGACCCATAAAATTTGTCATCTGAACCATTTTGGTTCTGCATACCAATTTGTCATCCCAAGTTATATTCATAATAGCAAGTTTAAAGGCAAGGGCGAGAAAGGAATAAAAAAACACCTTGATATTTCATGTAAGAGAATAAAATATGTAATTACATCACGAAATAACTTATCTTTTTACATTTACTCATGATTTTACATGTGTCTTCTTTTTTATTTTTACAATATTTTTTAAATGAAAACTTTTAAACAGAAGAAAAAATATGACACATGTTGAACAATGAGTGGTTAGTAATAGTTTATAGGTTTAGAATTTACCTTTACATTACAATGATGTTAGTAATAGTTTAATTCTAAAAAATATTTTGCAATAGAGAGGGCTTTGTTAGGATAATGAATAAAAGATAGAAAATGATATATTTAAGGAATTTAAAAAAATTATGTATCTAGTATTTTTATAGTAAAACTTATTTCATTTTGATTTATTATCCGGCCATTGGGATGGGGTGATATGATTGGTTAATTTAGTTATTAATATTACAAAACGTTAATTTGATTGTTGTCTTTATATATTGTCAACCAATTTGATTCACCAACAACGGTTGGTTTAATGATGTAATGTCCTACTAAATTATCAGAAATATAAAAAATTTAGATTTGATTCATGTGAGCGACATTTGTTGGAATGAGTAGTCACAAAAATTATTATTTTCTTACAAAAGTGAGGGTGGTATTACAAAAAAAAAACCAATTTGATCCATGACTTTTCACATCATTGGTTAATCTTGTCCCTAATGTTAATGGACGTTAATTAATGATAAGGGAGTATCTTAAGTGCTAAAGTCCTACTTATTTAGTACTTCAAATTTGATCCACTCAATCAATTTGGTTCCATTAATTAATAGACAAAACTTAGTTAAAATATCATAATACTGATAAACTGACATGTAAGTGCTATGCCACATTAATCACTTGTTACCATTAAGTAGACTAAATATACCAACAATGTGAAAAAGCATGGACCAACTTATTGTATTTATGATCTCAAATATCAAATTGACATCACCGATCAAATTGATATTTTATTCATTTACATTGTCATTTGAACTCTCAAATCCTTATAGGATGAGTCAAATTCTTATCAAGTTAGCAATATTTATTAATTGGAAAATATTGTCTCGGGTTCTTCCTACAGAAACATTTTGGTAAAATTCATATGGATTAAAATATCAATTAATATGATTAATAACATTAGATTTGTCAATAATTTATAATTAATTTTAAAATTATCCTTATAATTATTGAGACTCGATATCTTTCTTTTTATATCCAATTAATAATTTTATAATTTAAATATGGATATTTTTGCAAAAATCATAACAATGCATTTTATAATTTGAATGAGATGTTATAAAAAAACCACAACCAAATTCTCCAAAGTGTCCGTCAACAGAAGATAGTATCAAGTATCAACTTTATCGAATGAAATAGCAACACATTGTTATTAAATAATGAGCATAAAATTGATAGTCAAAATTGGAAGATAGTATCAACTTTATCAAATGAAATAGCAACATATTATTATTAAATAAGAGCATAAAATTGATACTCCAAACTTATATGAAACAACAATCCCATTAATATTGCTTATATCTAAAGAAGGGGCAGAATAATTCCCCTCATTCAAGGAAAGAAAATATACCATGACATGCAGAGTCATATTCCCATTTATGTTAATATTTGGAGGCTTAGCATCCTTTGAAATAGAGCCAAGGGGATAAAAGTAAACTCACATAAAAAGGAATGAGACTCATCTCCATTAACGGAAAGAGAAGTTGTGTGAAAAAACAAAGAAAATATAAAATGAAATGACACATGTATCCTTGTTAATTATATTATATCACAATTTTACCCTTACAAACCAAAGAAAAAAGAAGTTGTCTCTCCATTACTTGAGAAAAGTCTTATTCTAGAAAAAGAGTGGGATAAATATTTATGCTTATTGAATGTTGATTATTAATGCAGTTATGTTTTATTATACTAAAAATGATGGAATCAGACCTCATTTTTGGTTAGGAAAATGAACAAATGGAAAGCAGTGATATAAGAAACTTCCAAATTCTTATATGATTTGTCAAAAAATAAAAGAACTAATGAATTCACCCCAATAGTGTGGTCCTGTACCAAGTTCACTTCAACCTTAGATAAACTTCTTATGCATGTTAGGGTTCAATTAATATTGGAATTGACACTATAGATAATTAGATATAAAGCTTTACCTAATTAGTACCCTTTGGCCTTAGGGTTAATCACACAAGTATATAGTTAATAATATATATGTTTTCTCAAATCATATTCCATATTATTGTTGTCGATTATATTCTTAGATCATACTCCATATTTTATCTAATTAGTACCCTTTGGCTTGAGGGTCCTGTAACATATTATTGTTATTTTTGATTCAGTATTGTTGATAAGAGACATCAGATATTTATTCAAAATCATGACATATTAAGAAATTGTGAGGGTTTTCACCATCAATCAACAAGCCCTATAGATTTAATTCATGGCATGTTGTTAACTTATATTGGGAGTATATACCTATCAAAATATTATATGAACAATTGTATGTAGATATTTATTATCCTCATATCATCACTCTTTTCTTCAAAAATCAAACATTCCTCATGCATCTAGTTCAACCCAGACAGCCCTAAGAAGATAAATTAAGCACCATGGCCCTTTTCTAATCACTAATTGGAAACAGATATTTGTTTGATTTCCCATTATTAAAGCTTTCATTCTTCTGGAAGTTTTCAATGCAGGAACTCCATGACAAAGAGGACTTTTAAAACCTGAAAGGAATGGAAATTTATATTTAGAAAACTATCAAAAAAATTGCTTTTGCATACTATGTATTATAAGATAAGGGAGACAACTAATATATAATATTTATAAACTTTACAATAAAAAATAAAATTTTGAAAACATAAATCATGATCCACTTCTATAACACCAGATCTTGAAAATTGAACAATTAAAAAATGATTTACTGATCAATTTACTTCTTAATCGTGTTGGCGTGAACCACAAATTAGGGGTAAAAAGATTTATGGATGAGCTTTATATAATACTCCATCTGATTTTTTTATATCTTTATTTTCTTTATTTAGTGAAACTATCCAAAATGGTCATATAAAATTGACTAAAGGAAACGTATAATAGTTTATTATGTAAACATCATTGGATTTTATCAAAACAAAACAATAGAAAGGTTTTTCCACACAAACTATACTATATATCCCTAAATCTTCCTAATAGTCTAATACTACTTAAAACAAGTATTCAATGTAAAAGCAAATCTTGCACTGCCTTAAAAGTGAAAAAATAATATATTAAAAACTAGCTATATTTAGGAAGATTCATTGGGAAGATGTAGATTTATCCTTTTCTGCACATAGCAAGTTGAGTAAAAGCACATAATATATATCAAATTCATAAATTAAATATAGTCATAATTGTGAATCTCCACACATAAATGGCCTCAGATTGACTAAAAAATGTTTAGATTAACATGGTAAGAGACAAGAACATGGTGAAAGATAGGAAACTTTCGAAAATGTATAGTGTTATCTGGTTAGCTATAATTTAGGCAATATGGTTATGTAGGAATAATCTAATCTTCAATTTTGTTAAGCCTTCTCTTCATCAAATTCTGGAATCAGTGATAGTAAAATCTTAACTTTGGATCAAGGGCAAGCAGGGATAGACTCAATTCTCTATTCTGACTGGATAATTAATCCTCTAGTTTGTTTCAATATCGTCTTGTAATTGCTTAATTTGTTCATCTTTTTTTCTTCTTGTACTGAACTATTACCTTTTTCTAATAAAATTATCTTTTTGTCGATAAAAAAACAAAGAGAGATAAGAAGTACCTTTATGTTAAACAATTTGAAAACGCATACCTTGCTAATATTCTATACATGAGATGTGATGTACATAGTATTGAGTGATATGGCTGCAAATCTAGCTAGGGTTAGTTCAAGCATATAAAAGAGGCAAGGGAAAGAGAGAAAGAAAGAAAGAAAGAACATGTATAGTAACAGAAAATAAAAAAGGACAGAGAAAGAGTAAAAAATGGTGATGATGTGGTGACAGATAGAGAGTAAGCACACATAGTTTCAAGCATGAAACATCATCAAGCAAGAAAGTACCATGTGTGCTCACTCTCTTCTGTCACCTCTCTTACCCTTAACCTTCATAGATTTAATGAAATCTGCTATTGAATTTGAATAAGATACAACCTTTGTTTCTGAAAAGGATTAAAGGGTTAGTTAAAGTCTTGGAGATATTACACTAATCCTTGCTCCTATGTAGTTAACTCAGATAAACTTGGTTTGTTCTTGTGAAGAGGTGAATGGGATTCAATTGTATATATAGGTCCAAAAAAGAGAAATTGCTTGCATCAAGCCATCAAATATGGAAGGAATATATGTGGGGTTTATCTTCAATTGGTTTCTAATTTTTTAGGACTCTTTTTTTAATATTTTTATTGTGAGTGAAATTTTTCTTCCTAGAGGTTGTTTGTGTATTTATTTTTTATAAAAAATAATTGAAAGAAAAAGACTTTAACCATACAAGCATATTTTATTTTCCTTCAAAAAAAAAGCAGACTCACAATTTGCAAAAAAAAATCTTTGAATCATATATTTGTATTGTCTCTTTATAAGTTATTTTTATAAATTTATGTTTTTAAATATAAGCCATTTTATAATATCTATGTAACATTATATAATATATAAGCCACTTTATTTCAGCATAAATTAGTGGAGGGGTAATTTTGAAATATTAATATATTTATTTTGATAAATTTAAAAATTATAGAACTTTTACATAATTTTCTTAGCATGTGTTTTAACCCTCCCTAAAGAGACCTTTATCCTGGCCGAAATAGAGTCAACTTTTTTAGATCAACAATACAACATTGATGCATACATTTAAAGAGATGTAATCTTGATTGCAATTAATTTAAAATTGTCATGATATTTTTAACTCATGAGTAGAATGAGAGACCGAAATATAAATTTATTAGCTTACTATATTTTGTACAAACAAACACATTAAATGAAAGCCAAAATATGTAAACGTTGGGATTTCTAATAAATTTGTTGAGAAAAAAATGTATGTAATACGAATTTTATATAATGTCAATCTTTTCACCGTTATAATGAAAGGAAAAGCAAAAAAAAATGTGGGAAACTTTTTATCTGTATGATCTCTGCACCCATATGCTATAGTTAAACCCAACCACAAGCTCATTTATTCACTGTTGTTACCAAGACATCTTGTAATTCTAAATCTGGTATCTATTGCTATCATCATTGCCATTTGCTTTAAAACCCTATCCTTTTAACATATCTGATGGAGTATGACTCATCTCCATTAATGGAGAGACAACTGAATTTTTTATGTGTATTATAAGGGTAAAGATATAATCATCTTTTAAATAAATATGGCAAAAGTGAAATTGCATCTTCTACTTTCTTTAAGTTTTTTGGGTATTTGCCTCTCCATTAATGGAAAAGAGTCTTACTCTATCTCATGTGCTTTTTTCTTTCAATAGGATCCTTTGTTCATTAAAGAAAACTTAATCCTCCAACAGATATGGTTAGACATCAAAATAAAAACTTTCCAATATTTTATCTCTTCGTATACTTTGCTAACATGATCTCACCTCATTTCATGAAGAATCATATTAATAATGTGTACCCTAATATTATAACACAAATATCATTACTCACTCAATTAAAAATAAGTATTATATTTCACAGTGGTGGCGGCTCTGTTTCGCGGTGGTGGTGGCTATGGGAGTGCTTGTTTTTATAGAGAAATATTTTTGTCATAATATTAGAGTACACATTGCTAACATGATCCTTCATAAAATGGGTGAGATCACGTAAGCAAATTACATATATGTTGTTGAGCAAAATACCCAACTCAGCTTGGCTAGCATTCAACTAGTATAAGACCTTGACTTCATAAACCCCTAATGGTGCAATTACATATATGTTAATCTAGTTAAAGACCTTCTAAATAAGTCAAGTCTAAATTTTAAATTTTTTTATAAAAAAACAAACAAGTCAAACCATAATTATTATATAGACTTTGTTTCTGAGCTAACTGCATATACAAATTAACTCCTCTCATATCATGTCATCCCAATCATACATATTCATTTTGAAAGTATATATGCTTATTGAAAATATATATTATAATTGCCCATATGAAATTGCGACAAATAAAGCATATACAGTGACCATGAGTTATTATTGATTATTTTAAACGACAGAAAGTCAATGAGAGAGGTTCTTGATCTGAATTATCATGCCTAATAGAGTAAACTAAGTAAGTGCAGCATAATTGATGTGCATCATGAAGGAAGGAATATGCATGGTTATATATTAAACAAAATATGGTGCAGATCGAATTGAAGTGGAAGGTCCCGTTCTTATTCTAATGAGGAAAGTGAAGGAAGAAATTAAGTTGGAATTGCATCAAAGAACTAAGTAGCCAATTAGTGCTCAACACACACTCATAAGCACAAATATCTAATGCGGCGCTACAGCACTTTAAAGTATATTTGCTTTATTCTTTCAAAATAAAATATATATTTATACCATGAAATAATTTATCTCATTCATCCAGTAAAAGAATGACATGTATATTGTTTTGTTTAATTTTAGAAATATTTTTGTAGAAAATAATTAAATAATACACATGTCACGATTTTAATAGTCGGATGAGATAATTTATCTCTTTTATACCAAAAGATACATTATTATGTTATTCTTTATATTATTTAAAACATTAGAAGGGTTCTCTCCAAGATAAGAGAGTCCAATTGTCACACGTGGTAAAACAAATCTTTAATGGCTATAATTTTAAGTTTTCTCAATAAAAGAATTAAAAATTAAAAAATAAGTATCCTTATATATTTCAGGGTTAAATTCTCTAGTACTAGATATGAACTCTAAAACATCACTGATGCAAAGTAAATAGCTAATGTAAATGTTTTAATTTCAATTTGAACTTTCTGCCTCCAACAAATTCCCCATTGAATTGTAAAATGGATATGCTTCTTTTTTACCAAATTTAAAATGTTTTGATACTTTCTTACTTGTATTTTCAGTATCTAAAATTAAAGTCCACTACATATATTCATATTTTTTCTTTCACACCAAGAGTGTAACTAAATAGTCCTGTTTGTAATACATCAGTCCTGACATGCGACCCATCCATCTCCTGTGCCCATGAATCTACTGAGCGTATTATCCAACAGCTTAAATATCTTCATCTCCATCTCTCGCGACTCGCTACCATTAAGCTATCACCTTTTTAATGTAACACCTCAGTCCTGACAACCGATAATAAAATTGGTGATATAAGACTTCACAATATGTCCAAGCTTCCACATAAGATTGCTTAACCAGATGAAAGATTAACTTAAACTCATCACAAAATGAAATCTTTTGGTCCATGACAAATGAAAGAAAAGTTGAGTTCTGCCTTTGATACCATGTTACAGTAACACTTTGTACGTTGGAAAGTCAGGAAGTCAATTGATTTTAAAATGACACTTATACATAGCATCATAATCATAATGTAACTTCTCTCATGGGTGTCATGAGTTGAAACTAACCATTTAGTTGGTCTGGCGGGCTTTTGTAAATGAGGGTGTAAGGAAGTAAATCTCATATTGGATATCTTGTTGTTTCAAGTGTGGTTTAAATATCAGTTGATGTACTCATTTCATTGGCAATTAATTTTGAGATTGAACTTTAACCCAATTTCTCAATGTACTATGGACCTCCTCTTTTGTTTTTACTCTTTTTCTTCTTTATTTATCTTTTACGAGAAGATGTGACACAAAATTAGCTAATTACAACATGATATCAAAGTTATAATCCAATTTTTCTCCGGTTGTCATAGACAAAAAAATGTCATTTCATTACGAGTCAAATGTAAACATTCGACTAATTCGATAACCTTTTGTGGAGGATACATGTTGAAAAATAATTTTCAAATTGCATACCTCAATCTCCTATGCATTGTTTAAATATATGTTATTATACTTTTCTCATCATCAATTAGTTTTGAGATAAAACATTAACAAAGTCATAAATTACTAAAGTATGTACAATTTCTTCCAACAACTTTTTGCAACACATGACCAACAATCGAACTTCCATATAACATGAATTGAAAAACTTAGTTATTTACTAACCATATTAATTCTTGTTGATGATAATATTAACAATGTTATTAATTCTGGTTGATGATAATATTAATAATGTTAACTCAATGTATTTGGGAAAAATTGTATAAAATCTATCTGTTGGTAGAGGTAATGAATGGTACTCATGCATGTTTAATTTGAGAGTTAATGTCTGATACTTAAGAAAACTTCAAAGAATCAATGCACAATCTTCTTATATATGATCAACGAATGATTAGTTCATATTGTATATGTCTACTTATCCTACTTATCCATAAGTAAAAACATGTGTTCGAATAATCTTGTATATGGAAAAAAATCTTTAGAAAAATTAGCCCATTATACTTGTAGAATTTTGAAATATATTAGAATTATATTACCTAACAGGCATAAGCACAAATCTCGATGCCATTGCTATATATTAACAATATATTCTAACTATATATTGTACTTGTTATAATCATTATATTAGATAGGGTACTATCTATAAGTGGCAATAAAATTTCCCAATATGGAATGGCCACATGAGCATGTGCTTTCTAAATAAAGTTCATCCTAAGTGATTATTATTTATCCAACATAGGCAACTTTACTCCCCATGGGAATGAAGTACAACTTTTGAGACAATCAACCCTTTCTTTCTTTTGATATAATTAAGAATATATTTCTAAGATTTAGTTCAATAATGGATAAGGTTGTTGTAATAATATATAAAATATGAGCATCTCATTTCAAATTTCAACAGCTTTAAAAAGATTTAAGTATTCATAATAGAAGGTGCATTTGTTTATATTGTGTTGTGATAACAGATAAAATGTGATGGATTTGTTGAAACCATTTATGTGTCCAATTTTCAAATTTCTATATTCCTTTCAGAGTTTTAAATAATATGAGAATTTTTTAACATATATTTTAGCAATGAATAAATTATGAGTTGATGAGCTAAACCGAGTTATTCATGAGCC